ATATTAAACATACAAAATATTAATTAAAAATAAAATATACCATTAATATAAAATAAGCAATGCATCGAACAGATAAATACTATAATAAATCGAACACAAAGCGTTGTTTACGTAAAGATTTTTACAACTAATTAGACAAACAACCCTAACGAAATGTAACAACAATCTCGCCCGCCCTCTGCTGTCAGATTGACAGTTGACAGTGACAGTTGACGGAGTTCCAGTGTTGCCAGTATACACAAAAATAGACCCTATATATTAAGAATAGGGTTGTATATTATACAGCCGATGTGGCGCCCCATGAAATATTTTACACATCATTAACAGTCCGTTGGGATGTTCAATGGAAAACGGGAAAATAACTAGATGTGGTGTGATGATGGGAATAAGAATTATATATATATTATTGACTGTTTGTTTGTCATAATTACTATACTAAATTATATAGGATAAAATAATTTTAAATAAAAATAATATAGGAATATTATTCTGTATGGAACATTAAAATTATGCTTGGGTAAAAATTAGGATAAATTTTCAGTTTTCAACCTCTATGGATCTTGTAAAGTAAATAAATGTATATATTTAAATCGCATTCATCATAAATATAAATAATACATTTGTCATTCGAATGTAATTTGAGGAACACGACGTGAGCCATCATGATGGACGGCAATCAAATATCTGAATATTAACGAGCAAAAAATGATGAAACTCCAGCTATACATTGGAAAGCTGATGAGACAAGAGTTCACCATTAGCTCGAGGCATAAACAAAGTGGATCATCGGCCGTGAAGATTAGATCTAGTGAAAAAAAAATTAAAAAAAAAACTGTCATGAGGATTAAAGTCCGGGACGCTATTGTCATTTTGACAATATCTATCTCCGTCTCTCTCTGTCGTAGTTGTTGTATGAGTGTGAGCGGGACGGGTATATGTCTATTTGTTTTCACTTTTCTATGGCGGGTAATGTGACAGTTTCGTATGAATGTTTGTTTGTTGAATGGAGTTTTTTTTTGATATGATGCCGCATTATTTTATTTTTATAATCCGTGAGCCAGTGAGCCTGATATCTAATAATATATATCTGATAAAAGATTTTTTATACGATTTTATTTATAAATATAATATACTAACAATTATTTTTAAACTATTGAGTTCATAATTAATGTCTAAAATCTCACTAGTTCCGAAACAAATAAGCGTCCAATTCATCAAAATTTTTCTTTTATCTATTTTTTCAAAACATTTCTGACAAATAGCCGTGTATACAAGAGATTACAAGATGAAAGAAAAGAAACTTTAAATGTACGGACGAAACAAGCCTAATGTGTTACATTTGTATTTAATGTATGACATAATTGTATGGTGTTGCCATCACACAAAAAAAAAAATACCGAAATAGTAGAAAATAAATTAGTATAGAAATGAATGAAATTCTTCTGTTACATTGAAATAATGACGTTACTATATATAATGACGGTACTACCTTTGTCTGTCTGTTCCGACTAATATAGAAAATGTCTTTAGCTATTTCGATAGGGCTCTTACAAGCATATAGATGATGCAATAAGAACTAAAAAATAACTTTGGTTAGTTTATATTTTAGAACTGTTTAATTTTATTCATTATACCTAACTATTTCGCTCAATTGAAGTTGCGGACCAAACTATATAAAAATGTTGTCATTGTACGCAAAGACATAATATATGTATAATTCTTGGTAAATATCTAGAAAGGTATAAGATTAGGTTAATTGAAGTAAATAATTAACATCTGCCACCCCACAGAAGAAAAACCTAGCGGCTAGCATATACAGAATTCGAGTAAGTAGTAGAAGTTCGAAAAAATAGCCTCATTTTCAACATGCACTAACAAATATCGGTAAATCTTAAGTTTCACTGAAAAATTTTAAGACTTACTTTAATTTGAGCTTGTATAATAACATATACATACATTGTAATTAGTATATTTAGTAATCTACCAACAAAAAGTTATTTATTAGGTTGGTGCGTATGAAATGTCGGATTCTCTTTACATGCGGACGTTTCTATCCCTGTTTTCGTTATACTTTTGTCTTTGGCATTACCTTATTCATAGTCGTATTGTCCATTGCCAGAGACTCATTTCAGCAGAATAGGTTTTCTCGAAGGTCTTCCCTTTTGTTATTTCTTTTGAGTTTATTGCCGATATGAATTCTGCCGACATTCGCGTCATTTTCGTATATGAGTACAAACTTGGTAATAGTGCTGCAAAAGCTGCATGCAACATAAACCAAGCGTTTGGGGAGAATACGATTAACGATCGGAAAGTGCAGCGTTGGTTCAAAAAATTTCGGACTGGTGATTTTTCACCGCAAAATGAGCCGCGCGGAAAACTCAAAACGTCTGTGAAGAATGATGATCTGAAAGCTCTAGTGGAAGCGGATCCATCCATATGCACGAGGGAACTTGCTATCAGGATGAAAATTGACCATACAACGATATTGAGGCACCTTTCTGAGATTGGCAAGGTTAAGAAGATGGACAAGTGGGGACAACGCTCGGCCGCATACATCGCACAAAACAATTGCGAAACTGAACGAACTAGAATATGTAGTTTTGCAGCATCCACCATATTCACCGGATCTCTCGCCGACCGATTTTCATTTTTTCAAGCATTTAGAGCTGTTTTTAAGGGGCAAACACTATGAAAATGAAGACAGTCTAAAAAACTCGATATCAGAGTTTATTAATTCTAAAGACCAAATTTTTTTTAAGACAGGCATCTACGCTTTAAAATCTCGTTGGGAGAAGTGTATTGAAGCGAATGGAGCATACTTTTATTGAATAAACAGCTTTTGAAGAAAGATATGCAGTTTTATACAATCACTTAAGAATCCGACATTTCATACGCACCAACCTAATACAACAAATAAATCTAAACAAGTTACACTAATATTAATTGATATATAGTTTTAACTAAGTTTTTATAATATTATTTCATATTTTAACTAAGTACTTACCTATATCAAAGCTTATAATGTATCTTACAAGCTATAACAAATAAATTATAACTTTAATAACGACTTATTTTATGAAAAGTAAAATATTTCATAAGTCAGTTCTAGTGGTTAAAGGTCCGCCTCTCATGAACGAGGGAGCGGGTTCGATCCTGGCAAATACCAATGTGATGTTCCCAAATCATATACTTTCTAAGAATATTAAGATACCACTGATAGATGAAGGAAAACATCGTGAGGAAACCTTTAATTCTAATTTCACAGTTATAAGTTTGAAATCACCAACCCGTCTTGAGCAAGCGTGGTGATTAATGCTCAAACCTTCTCTATATGAGAAGAGGCCTTTGCTCAGCAGTGAGCTCTGATAGGATGATGATTATATTATTTCATAAACAATAAATTTATAACAACGGGACTTGAATCTAGGACTTGAAAATATCGCGTTGCCGTCGCTTTGCTGACTGACGCCATATTACATACATAATATTATCATTATATCAACATAACTATTGATAAAAAATAATATTCATTACATACAAATATATTACTTGTTTTAAAACTTAAATAAAACTAATTAAAAATCTACTTATTACTTGATATACTGAAAATTATTTCTAAATGAATAATATTGTGTTGCTAAATACGAGTTTTATACGATAACTAAAACTATCACACCGTAGGTAAGATAGTTAATATTAAATTCTGTATATACACGGAAAGAAAAACTCCATTCTTTTTCTTTTGTAATGCGACGGTATAGTTTTTATGTAAAATACAGAAAGAAAAATACTTCTTAAATCTTTATATATACACTGCCTGTTATATATTATTGTATATATACATGTATTTAATGAAAAAACAAATAAATATAATTAAAATTCACACTAAATCCCTACTAATATTATAAATGCGAAAGTAACTCTGTCTGTCTGTTACGCTTTCACGCCTAAAAAATTGAACTGATTTTAATGAAATTTGGTACAGACATAGAGTTAACCTTGAGTAAAAACATAGGATAGTTTTTATCCCAGATTTTTGAAAGGTTCTCTTGGAAACGCGACATAACTGAACTCCACGCGGGCGAAGCTGCGGGCGGAAAGCTAGTATGTATTAAAAACGAGAATACTTTTTTCATTATATATCTCTATATGTATCGAGAAAAAATTGTATTAAAACTTCATAATCAACTTTTATTTATTTATTATTTGTTTATCCAATATCAAATATATTAACATTGGCTGTATGTTTTGTGCACGAGGGAGTCACAGAATACCTTATATTACATCTCGTCTGCCCGTGATGATTGGTGTAAAGTAATTTAAATGTTATGAGTATGTAGTTTAAAATAATATAATAACGCGTAGTATAATAATATATTAGTTTCATTTAAATGAATAAACAATAGTCTTATCTCATTAGAAGAACTAGCTTTACATCCAGAATTAAATCTAGTTGTACCTATAGACGAAACTATCATCATTCCATACATTCACTTTAGCCAGGGTCTGCCTGACATGTTGTAAATAGTTTTGGCTATTTGTTTTTACGACCGGCCGCCTGCCTGACATCAACTCTCTTTGGGAATGCATAATCAGTGATGTCTAAATACTCTTAGAAAGTACATATGACTCGGAAAAATCACATTGGTACTTGCCAGGATCGAACTCGTGCCCTCATACATGAGAAAACCTTTTAACCACTAGGTCACCACTGACTAAAGCTCCTCTCTACCAAATTTGATATAAACCTACTATACTGCCTTCGATCCAGGTGTAGGTTTAAGGTGTCTAATATATAATAACTAGCTGTGCCCCGCGGTGTTACGTTGAATTCCGGGATGTAAAGTAGCCTATGTGTTATTCCTAGACATCAGCTTGCTGTATACAAAATTTTATCAAGATCGGTTCAACCGTTTGAGCGTGAAGAAGTAACAAACATACACATACAAAATTTCGCAATTATAATATTAGTAGGATTATATATAGTATATTTTTTCCAGGTGTAAATCCTCGTAAGCAGCGGAGGGAAAGAACAACCTTCACTCGGGCTCAGCTAGACGTATTAGAAGCTCTGTTCGGGAAAACAAGATATCCAGACATCTTCATGAGAGAGGAGGTAGCTCTGAAGATAAACCTGCCAGAATCCAGGGTCCAGGTAAGAACATCACTATATAATAATCTTGTTGTGAATAGTTTTTCCTACTTGTTTTTACGACCGGCTGCCTGACATCAACCCTCTTTGGGAATGCATTAATCAGTGATGTCTAAATACTCTTAGAAAGTACATATGACTAGGAAAAATCACATTTGTAAGTGCCAGGATCGAACCCGCGCCCTCGGCAACGAGAGGCGGGCCCTCTAACCATTAGGCCACCACTGACTAATATAATAATATATAATGATATGGATGGTTTACCGATATTGATATATGTATTATGTTTTCCATATATGTATCTATCTATCTTAGCTTTGAATGTCAGGGAGCTTGTTTAAAATTAACAGCATTTCATTAAGAATATTTTCTTCTACCTGGCAATTTCCCAGTTTCAGGCAGGGTTTGCCTTACATGTTGAGAATAGTTTTGGCTAATTGTTTTTACGACCGGCCGCCTGCCTGACATCAATCCTCTTTGGGAATAAATAAGAAATATATATGTGTAGATATTTATAACTAGTCCGGTCGTATGAAATGAAAATACATTTTCGATTATTGAACTATTGTTATTATTAAAATCTATATATATTTATTAGTCTTACCAAAAAACTAAAATATATATTCTTCTGGTATTGGCCACCTTTTCATACAAGCTTTCAATTTGTTTTACTTCGAATTCAAAATTTCACAACTGCTTGTTCCAAAGATTGTTTAAGAATCAGTATCGCTATATCGTTTAAATCAGATAATCTAAAACTAACCAAAATTTAAAGTCTAAAGTTTAAGACTAAAGCCCAATCTTCAGCTCAAATAAAATCCTATAAAATTTGTTTTCAAGCATATGTAGATTTAATTTAACAAGCAAAACATTAAAAAAGCCCTGGCAAGTACCAATGTGATTTTTCCGAGTCATATGTACTTTCTAAGAGTATTTAGACATCACTGATTAATGCATTCCCAAAGAGGGTTGATGTCAGGCAGACGGCCAGTCGTAAAAACAATTAGCCAAAAATATTCACAACATATAAGGCAGACCCTGGCTATAGCTGGGAAATTGCCAGGTAGAAGAAGAAGAAGCATTTAATTAAAAGGTTTCACAATACCATCTAGTTCATCTTCATACACTTTACCTATAGTTCACTTCTGTTCACAATAATCTAGTTTTGTAACTCCCTGATAGACACGCCCCATCAAAAATATTGTACCTTCCAAATTTCATCAATTTCTTTAGAAATGCACATTTTTCTTATTATATCCTTCAATCGTAAAATTTTCTTCCTAACAAAGAAGATATCGCAATCTCAAATAGTTTTATAAATCAAAAAACCTAACTTTAGAGTAATATTAAATTGAAATTAACCCTAACTTTTCACTTTTCGGCTCGTAACTCAAAAACTGTTAAAGTTACCACAAAATTTAAAATAACTTATAATGATTTTTGACGCTCAACAAAATTATGTAGTAATTATTATTATGTGATTTTAACTGTATCGCGACTGAATGTATTTTGATCTATCCATTCTCTTTAAAACTAAAAATAGATTATTTTTATGTTCTGTGTATAAACGATAATCATCAAACTTCAAGTCTTTTTGTATACGCGACAAATTTCTTGTAGAAACTTAATTTCCTAATAAGGTTTCAATTAATTTTATTTTTACAGTATTAACACATCTCGTCTTAATGATCACGGTTGCTGCAAAGTAACTTAAACGTTAGTAGTATGTAGTTTAAATAATACTAGTACATATGATAATATTAGTTTCATTTAAATGAATACTCGCGAAAGTCTTAAATTGTATTAACCTTTGTAGTTCTAACAGCACTTTTCAGTAGCAATTCTTTTCATATCTGAGTGAGAAATAGTGTTGTTAATTTTTATATTTTTGAGTAAGATATACAAATATACATTTAATAGAGGAGAGAGGGCTTGAAATGCCGATTTTAACAAATTATTATATAATTTAGATAAAACAAGTACTATGTTTAAAAATAGTGGTTCATCCTAAGTCAAATTTTGTCTGCAATACTAATTTACTTACAAATTTTGCAGGTTTTCAATAGTTTTTCAGAAAAAGTGTTTTAGAATATGTCCGACGGATTCATACCATATAGTGCAAGGCGATCATTCTTTATCTATTTTCTTAAAAGCCCATTTCATAATGTAATTTCTTTATTAAAACTAAAAAATATATGTAAAATAGCCCCAAAGGCGCAAGATTTACAAATAATAGGCACTTAGTATGTATATAATTCATAATAATTAAGTTAAAAGAAAGTAAAGTTTTATGTAACAGTATATACCTATTATGTCTAGACTAGTTACGAGTATGTAAGTCAGTGGTAGCCTAGTTGTTAAAAGGTCAGTCTCTCATGCACGAGGGCGCGGGTTCGATCCTGGTAAGTACCAATGTGATTTTTCAGAATCATATGTACTTTCTGAGAGTATTTAGACATCACTAATTAATGCATTCCCAAAGAGGGTTGATGTCAGGCAGGCGGCCGTTCGTAAAAACAATTAGCTAAAATTATTCACAACATGTAAGGTAGACCCTGGCTAAAGCTAGGAAATTGCCAGGAAGAAGATGAGTTATGTATATATAATTGTATTATAATAGAAATTCTTTTATTACAAAACGAATTCCCATTTAAGTAATAATTTGGAAAACGATGTTAAAACTCTCTCTTTAAAAGTTCGTAACAAAATGAGCTTCATTTCTCGCGAGCGTCCAATTTATACGAACAAGCTTCGGGCATTAACCCGGAATAGAATTACGTTCCAAATTTGAAATTCGAAAATCGAATCAATCCGCGCCATTGTTTGTACGGATGTTGACACTTGACAGACATTACGCTTGAAATATACTTAATGTAACAAAAATTACATGAAAAAAATATACTTTTTACTTTATTTTTCATTTATTAACAGTACGAATTCACATTTATTCAATCTCTCCCTTCTAGATGTTATCTGTGCAGCCAAATAATTGAATTGATCGTTAATAAAGATATTTTTAATTGGATTAATATTTTAAACTTGTTCTTATTATTATATGTATATCATTGTATACATATATATATTACCGGCTTTGTCTATATTCAACTTAACAAACGGATGTATTTCTATGTATTAGTAATATACATATGTATAGCTGACCGGCGAACTATATTCCGCCTTAGAGGCAATAAATAACCAGATATTTGAATTTATTAAAAATTTTCCTTTTCGATCGAACAGAATTAAATATCCTATGTCCGTTTTCTAGTTCTAAGCTATCTTTACACCAATTTTCAGCCGTTCCTGAAATATAAATAGTGTTACTAACACGACTTTCTTTTATTATTAATTAAAATATATCAAAACTATTATATATAAAAAACAAGTACTATTTCTAAGTAATGATTCATCCTAAACCAAAATTTGGTCTACAATACAACTTTACGTACATATTTAGCACATTTTCAATAGTTTCTTTTAGAAAATGTACCAAAACTAATACATATATGTATATAATATTAGTTTTGGTACATTTTCTGTATCGTGCATGTCCCAACGCTGCGTGGATTAGCGCCCCTCGTGATAATAGGTTGAATGTAAGAGCAATGAATTCATATATTATATTTGTAACAGATGCGCGCTACTCGGTATTGTATACCACACAATGCGCGCGGGGCGTGCAGAAAAACAATTATCAATATATATAGCATGGTAAATAAATGTAGATATGAAAAAAGAGGTAGAATTAGATGACTTGTATATAGAAATGAATAAAATTAAAGAAATGTCATCTATGTATGAAATTGAAGAGTTTGTTTGTTTGTACGCGCTAATCTCATAAACTACTGGTCCGAATTCAGAAATTCTTATTGTGTTGAATAGAATATTTATTGAGGAAGCTTTTAGGCTATATAACATCACGCTGCGACTAATAGGAGCGAAAATATAATGGAAAATGTGGAAAAAACGAGGAAATATTTCCATCTTTGAGGATTACAGTTGCGTGCCCTGCGAAAACGGTTTAAAATACCAAAAAAAAACTATAAATTTTTAAGGAATTATTTCTCTTGAAATGATCTAAAAAATGTCAACGACGGTGTAAGTCTATCTTTTAAAGTTAACACACATAAAGGTTAGTGGTGGTCTAAGTTAAAAGGCCCGCCTCTCATGTAAGAGGGCGCGGGTTCAAAACCGGGCAAGTACCAGTGTGATTTTTCCGAGTCATATGTACTTTTATTTTACTTTGTGGTGATTAATGCTGAAACCTTCTCCATGTGAGAAGAGGCCTTTGCTCAGCGGTGGGCTCTGATAGGCTCATGATGACACTATAACCGTTTTTATGGTATAGAATTTGGTTGAAATGAATACATTATTACCAATTATTTGTTAGACTTCTAGTAATATCTATATCTACATATAATCTTTATCCAAATTGAATATTGACAAGACAAGTCGCGGGCACAGCTAGTGTTAAAAAACTGAACAATTTAAAACGACATATATAAATTTTGTCTGTCTCTTTATACCGGTTAAAGTCCTAAACGGATAGACCAATTTGAACCAAACTTTAACCATTCATACAATGATTTGTGACGCATATAATAATAACGATTTTTTTAATATACAAATTTATTTCATTTGCAATGATCAAACGTATGTTTATCTATCAGATCATATCTCCTAAACTAATGATGAACAGACAGACATTGTGATATATAATTGATCTCAGTGGCTCCTACATACATGAGACGCATCTGTTACTAATAACAATTGTTAGTAAGAATATTATTTAAATTTAACTATTATAATATATATTTTCATATTAAAAACAATTAGTTTTTTATAATTTTTTGTATTATAAACGTATTAGGTATATTTTATCTAATTATCTAATTTATATAAGGCTTTTGAGGAAAAGTAAGAAAATGTTCCTATTTTATGGACCCGGTGCGAGCTTTCAAAACTGCGCCCCTGAAAAATGCTAACCAGGCTCTAAAAATAAAATGGACAAATGTGCATACAAATAAATCTATTTATTATTTACCAAGGTAACAAAGTATATAAGTATATAGCTACCATGTATGAGATAAAACTAGATACTATTCTGGTCATTTCTGCGCCCCTCCAGGGTCTGCGTGCTATGCCTGGGCACTGCTGGCACCGCCCTAGTTACGGCACTGATTATTGATTAGTATAGAAACACTAAATTTACTTTAGAAAAGTTTTAGTTAAAATTCTTTAATTATTAACGTTAAACAGACAAACTGAGAGTATAAAGTGAATACGAGGAAATATAAGTTAAATTTTTTGATTATATTACAGTAAAAGCTCCTTATTCGCGCTTCCTTTATTCGCGTTTTCACTATTCGCGGATTAAAAAAATGCTACCAATTCCTATATTCGCGACTAAAAATTTCTTTATTCGCGGATCTAATAAGTACATACATAATAATAAAATTTTTCCAAATAGGTATCCAACACAATATCCTTGTCAAATTGACTAATTAAAAAGTAATATATCTTATTACAACTTTACCTAATTACTTTGCGATTTCTTTATGAACATTGATCCGTTTATGGAACGAAGTCTTATTTTTAAGAGGCAAACTGCTAATGCGACTGCTGTGTATCAGTCTGAATTGAAGGAGCTTTTAAAAACTGCCAAGCAAGAAAAAATTACAAAATTCTTCAAACCATTGCCTAAGCCTTAAGATAATTAATTAAAATGTTCAAATACTTCAGTTATATTTTTTTTTATATAAATTTGTTGTTTTTATTTTTGCCACCTAGGAACGTATCCCCTATAATCCCATATAAATTATCATTCCGTATTCACGGTTTCTGTATTCGCGGTATATTTACGGAACATATACCCCGCGAATAAGGAGCTTTTACTGTAATATAAAAAAATATGCATTAAAAATAATAATATTTTCTTTGTTTGTCAAATTATAATAATTTAAGGACTATATGGGTTCATTTAGAATAAGTTTATGGTAGTTTTAGAACTAAATAAAAGCTACAGTGGACGTATGAGAATTAAACAAGAATACTGTAAGTTATTAGGTGAAATATAAAAACAATAACTATCAAAGTTTAAATGTAATTGTGTTTAAATTATCGTTTATTTTAACTTAAACGATGACAAAGATATAATATTTCTTTTATTTCAAATACTTAACTTTGTACACTTCATAGTAGGATACCATACATATATAATATATAATAAAAAAACTTCTATATTAATATATATAATATATCAACAGGTCTGGTTCAAGAACCGTCGCGCCAAATGTAGACAGCAGCTCCAACAACAGACAAACTCACAGATATCAAGCAAATCCTCTTCATCATCAAAAACGATCACCACGACCAGTTCCATGAAGAGCTCCAACAAAATCTCCTCCACAAAACCTTTGACATCCTCCAATTCTTTGACATCCACACAGAACAGCATAACCACATCATCCCCAAACCTTCCAACCCCCACAACCTCCGTCAGTCCTCCAATCAACGTAATCTGCAAGAAAGAATCAGCTCCAAACTACGATTCATCACCAATTAACAAAAATCTTTCAACCATAAATCATTACACCAAAGATTCATCGCCGGACGTAAATGTCCACAACTATGGCGTAACTCCAAAACAGGAGCTATACAACAGTCCCAAAAGACTTGAATACAACAAAGTGGACTATACAGACAAATTCAGCGGAAATCTTGTTAAAGAGCAATATAATTCGCGTCTGACGGGGAATTTGACTCCATTGGGGTCTAACTCCTCTATAATGACGACCCCATCCCCCCCAATCACCCCCCAGAGCATCAACGGCCCGGGGAACGTGTATCACCCCGATACATATAATAGTTTCCACTGGCCCGGCGGGTCTGATTATATCCGAGGGTATTCTGGCACGCATCATCAGGGATATGGGCAGAGTTATAACTCGCCTTACTATCCTACACAGGTGAGAAAAGTATGAAATACATATAAGCTTAATATATGCTTGTGTGTATGTGTGTGTGTGTGTGTGTTTGCTGCCGTAAGAAATAATATAGAATAACCTTCATGATTCATATGTATTGGGAAGTTTATTATAAATTTTGTTAATGATACCGATAATTCAAATCTCATTAATGAATATAACTATTCATTTGATGTAATTTATGTAAGGATTTATATAATGAAACTAAGCGTTTTTTATTGTATATATCTACATTTTCGTGAAGTTTCGGTTACTTTACAGCAATGGTAATCGCGGAAATGAAATGTCTGTCTGTAGATATAAAACAATAAAAAACGCATAGTACCCAACATAAAAACAATATAATATAATCTTCTATCATTCTATTAGATGGAATACTTCAACGGGTCATCAGTGAACCAAGCTCACTCAAGTCACCACGGCCACAACCTGTCAGCCAACAGCAACCAGCTGTACAACCAGGTTTCCTTCGGCAACCCGTCCCCGCCAACCGCCTGGAGTTCACACAACCTGCTCTCGGGCGCTGAATCACCGGATAACCAAGCACAGAACCACCTCAGCATGATCCAAGCATCACAAATAACCAACTTCCCAAACACAAGCAACAGCTACTTCGCGCCAGAAAAATACGGCATCAACATGGTCTAGTTGAAAACGACTATCCGAAATACATTCGATCCGCGCCAACGTTCAACACTCGTCTCATTTCACGTTCCAAATTCAAAATTGTTCCGTCGCGTCTAAATTCATAACATCTGAATTCGAATTTTTAAAATCCAACTTCAGTGTATTCGAATTTTAAAATCGCTTCATTACATTTGATAACAAAGTTTAAACAGAAATTCGAATTTTAAAATCGCTTCATTTCATTTGATAACAAAGTTTAAAGAGGAATTCGAATTTTAAAATCTCGTTCATTATGAATCGAAGCCGGAATGAGAATTCGAATTTCAAAATCATTCCGATTAGGATGATTTGAAAATGGAATGATTTTGAATTTGGAACGTTTCATGTGACGCGTCAGTACATATCAAGGATTGTGAGCGAATGTAGTTCGTACAGATCGTTCCTACGTATTGTTATAAACTAAATAAGTGTTTTAAACGTCGCGACGGCGGGAATTCTGACCATTTGAAATATACTTAAATTTAAATGATTTAAAAACTTAATATCTTTTATTAAATGGACAAAATGTCCGCCGTCGGACGTATTTATGATATTTTTTTCATATAATTTCTTATAAGCTTCCTATGAATCAACGAAATTGAACTCAGGCCTAAGACGACCGTTGTTGCTATACTTCGAGTGTTGTACATATATGTGTAATGTTTCATTTATAATTATATATAATTTAAATAAAATTCAAAATGTAAATGTGCGTGATGATTGTATATGTGGAATATGAAATGTTTAGGATAACTAAGTGTTGTTTAGGGGATTCCCCCGGCGTCGCTCGCGGTGTTGCCACTACGAAAGATTCATTGATCTATATATTTATGATTTTCATAAATTTCCGTTTCCCCGCTCGCACTGTGACGTAACATCCTGTGCGTTTTGTACAGCTAATGTAAAAAAAAAAAGTTCATAATAATAATTTATATATTTACTAATTATAAATATTAATTAATTGTAAGTCGTATTTGCGTCGTCAAATAGTCTTTAACGCATCGTCTCGGGACGAGCACCTATCGTTTTATTTTGTATCCAAACGCCATCAAAACTGGCTTAGTCTTTTTATTTTCACGACTGAAACAGCGTTTCTATTAATTTAATAAATATTTTTGTATAAATAATAATAATTATTATAATGAAATGAAAATGATTTCTTTTTTAAAGGAATTGTAGATAATGTGGAGTTTCTAGATATTTGCTTGAACATAGCTAAGTTAGTTAAGTATGGTAAAGTGTTTGGGCGAAGTCAGTGTAATTTTTTTTTTTAGTTTTTTTTTGTAACCTAAGTTGTAATAAATAGCTAATGAATTATTGAATCCGAATATATGCATATAAAATACATTTCATGTCTTTCATTTATTATAGAGTTTTAACAATAATGATACAGCAAGTTAAAAAGGAGAAACCCCGTAAAGAAATATACCTAATGAAAATATTGAAAATTACCTTAAAAGCCTAAAAAAATATCCTTCTTAGAATAAGAAAACAAATTTAATTTATACTTTACCTTGTCGTATAGTTTGTCTTAAATGAAACAAATCTATATCACCTACAGATTAAACGAGATATATCTATAGATACTTTCCATCTATTCTTATTTCATACTTAACACAGAACATTCATAACAAAGCATTCATTAAAAAAATCGATTTGCCTATAAATTGAATACTTACATATTTAAAATTGAAAGATATCAAATTTAAAAATACTTACTTCCATATATTATCATGAAGAATACTTGAATTAAAACAAAATTTTCATTTACTTATATTGTTAACGAAATCTAAGATTATCGAAAGTATTCATTGAAATAAAACTAACATTTTTCCTATTAACTGCGATTGCAATTGCAAAGTTACCGAAACATAAGTAATATGTAGTTTAAAATAATAAAATATTCATAATAATAATATATTTTTTCAATATATATATATTTATTCAGTTTCATTCCTCGTCTCCGTAATGTGATAGTTCCCTGACCGAAGCCCTCACGATGCTACGGATTGTGTTTCTTTGATTTTGTGTCGTCTAAAGACTTGGGGATTTTATTTTCTTCATATTCTAGGTTTCATTCATATATATAGATATATATTAAAAAGAAAAGTTACATATACATATACATATACCTACATATATGTTTATCGTGCTTAAGTGAGAAATACATTTTATTAATGTTAAATATGAAATTATTTAATTTTTTTTACATCTATATACTTATAAAAATTACGTGAATATCGGCCGTCGGTAAATTTTAGTATGTAACAAAACAATAAGAGAAGATTTTACTTTCTTTTAATATGGAATCGATTTTTAATGAAAAACTTAGTTTTTAAATTAAAAATATTACCTAAATTATAGAAAAAATTATTAATTGAAACATTTGGATTTCAAATCAGATCTTAAGAAATGTTTCCCAACTTCTTTAAAAGTATAACTAATTCATTTAAATTTTCAATGTATGCCTATCTACATTGTTATCTCGAAAACTACTAAGTAATTTCATTTGGATGGATTTTAGTAATCAATAATATATAAAAAATAAAGAAATTCTATAAGTATAGGATAAAAATTATTGAGATCTCTTGAGTTAGACATAATATGAATTCTGGTTAAAAATTACGTAGAAAATTCTGTTTTTCTACGTACGTAGGTCAATTAATTGTTTTTTTTTCTCAAAAAAGTCACATCTTTATATTTAATATTTTTATTACAATTTTAATATACCAATGTATTTTAATTTTACAAGAGGTTTTGGCTGAAAACTTATTATTAATAATAATAATTTAAATAGGTAAGAATTTAATAGAAACATTACAATTTTACAAACTAAATACCACTTATTTTGACCACCAAGAGGCATTTTAAACGAAAATTAAAAAAAAACATTGTGTCTATTAAAAAATATTTTTAAGAAGAATCGAAAATAGAGTGTCATTGAAACAACAAAAAACTCTCGTATAATGACTGAAATTATTAATGTTATTAATTTACCTATAATAATATAATAAATAAATAAATCCTTCATGAATATTAATAGCGAATCATCATTTTATTGTACATATTAATTACATTTAATTCATTGAAACGCAACTCATTCGATTTTAATTACACAGACTATAAAATTTTATACACGATAAAAGTTTTATTAATATCAAAAGTAATTATAGAATAGTTATTATTTTATATACAAATGTAATTTAATTCAAAATAATTATTATTATAAATAAAAAATGTCGTCTTCGTCGTTTAATGTTAAAATTATCTGTTTAGCGTACCGCTGTGGATACCAACATAACTATAGCAAACTTTACTTGTACGCGCGGATATTCAGCGGAAATGTATTTTTATTTTAATGTTGCAGCCCTGTTGAGACAACCGCATGTAACCTACATACAGAAAACAACTTAATTCAATATAAAATAAGACTCAAATTTGCTTGTATTTTCAAAGCTATAAGACCATCTCTAACGGCTGTCAGCCGCGCTCGTACTCAGCAACACTCGCGGCTGTATATAGCGGACTGTTGTCGTCTCGCTCGCACTCATAGGAACACCGTATCTCCGCACTCTTTCCTACATTAAGCCGCTTATCCTCGTCCCGCGCGCTTCGATCCGCGCCTATAGAGACCTATTCTATAATTTCGTGATATTAAAATATGTATTATTAAATATTTTTTTTTACATTGTAAAATATAATCTATAATTATATATAAATTTAATATTAAAAACTGTGAAATTAATATTAGTATTTTATATTTATCTACTTTTGTATTAATATAATTTTACGTTATAAAAATACAAGTATTTCAAACAAACATCTTGTCCCGTGACAACCACGAAAAAAAAAGTAAAATTTAATTTTATTTATATAGAAAATATTATAATGATAAACACACCTACATTTCAATCAACATATACATATATATAAGTAGTCTTTAAATATTTTATATGTACATATAATATATATGTAGCGAGTGACACCAGAATAGTCCCCCAAGAATATATTACAGCGTTTTCTCCCCTATATAACAACATATAAGGTAAGTTTCTTCGGTTTGAATCAAAAATGTATTTCCATAGACATTTTTTACGAAATTATCCATTGAATATGACAAGCCAGATATTATATTGTAAAACGTTCAAATATCAAGAAAATTATCTACATTACTAAAGAAATTTATCGAAAAGCTTAAAACCCAACTAGTTCAAGAATAAAGAGTTAAGTTTAAATTAACTTTAGTATGAAAATTATTATTTAAATTATGTCATAGAATTTACACATTTAAAATATAAACCTATGTAGTTATTTAATTTTTAGTTTTGTTAAGGCTTTCAATATATTTTACATATCTATTAATTCCCTATACTTATAATTTTATTTATATATCCCATTGTTCGAATAACACTATGACTATTTTTTTCCTTTGGGATTATAAGTATCTATATAGGTACCCAATAAAAAAACATTTTTATTTTATAAAACACAAGGAAAACATTCCAAAATACCAATTGTAATTTCTTTATGCCGACTTATTACAAAATAAATTATTAAGCACTTCTTCATATACCAGGCTTCATTAAAATTTAAAAAAAGAACACAAATTCATTCCCATACAACATACGTCATATACAAATAATTCCAAATTCAAATTCCGTCCCTCAATCAAATTCCAATACGGAGCACATCCATTCCAATATTAAGTCATTCTGATTCCAAATTCAAATAATGTTTCTCAAAAGCCGCAAATGTCAAAGTGGCCGGCGTCGAGTGCGCGGTATCATGTCGCGTATTTAATAAACCAGCCAGCACGCTCTCCACTCGACGGACGAATGTAATTCAAACAAATGCCGGGTATTAAAAAAAAAAAAAAAAAAAACCACGAGTGCTTTCGCGCCATTTCTATACTATTGTGCGGTTATTAAAAACTTCAAGTATTTTATTGTGCACGATTGTATTCTGCCGATTTTTTTTTTTTA